CCCAGCAATCAGTAGATCAAATAAAGAATTACTTTTTATAAATATATTAAACAACTTCATTGAAGAATTAATAGAAGATCCTACAGAACATTCATCTAGCCACCTGATAAGATTAAAATCCCTCTCTATGCACAGAGGGAAATGACATTGCTGAATCTCTCCATCCATATCTTTGACAAAACTTTCCTTAAGAGCAGGGTCATTAGGACCATAAAAATTCATAATTCGCCAAAATAACCTCGGGATAGGACCATGAAAGCCAAGAACTAACAATCTATCTCGAATAACAGTCTCAAAATTTTATAGAATAAGAGGGTCCCACAATACCCACAAGCCACCAGATGCTCCAATAACATCAATACCACAAAACGAAACAACCATTGAGCCCCAGACCTCCCTAGCCCTAGAAACATTAGAACTAGGAAGTTTCGTTTATTAAATAATTAAAATCCAAGGCTTAAACTTAGAAACCAAAAATAAAATATCTCTCTTACGGTTAGGGTCACCCTAACATTCAATGAGAGAATATGTAATAATAGGGAGGGTTAGAGGTGGAACCTTGCCCATCAAGACTTGCACCGAAATAGATCTCCTCTAGCATCAATGCTTCATTTAACGCAGCAGAATCTAACAACTCTGAAGAGTCTGAAACAAGAGAAGCAGAGGAGGCCTCCGAGAGATTAATAATTTCTGGTACTTTACCCAAAGGTGTTTCGGCTTACAGTGCTCTTGATGATGCCACGGGCCTCCAGCCACGTCGAAGACCTCGACCCCAAAGAAGAAAACTTCTTATGCTTAGATGCCTTGCTGACGATTGGGGTTTTCTCAGACCTCCCCACATTGCTCTGAGCAATATCGGCCCCTGAATCCATAGTCCTTCTAGCCTACTTAATCTGTTTCACCTCATCAAAGAACACCCTAATGGGGATATTAAATCCATACCCATATCAGATACCATAGCTTCAACTTTTGGTTCTTCAGTGACAACATCAACAAAATCAGACTAAAAAACCTCAACTTCTAATACAGAGTCATCAGTTACAGTTGGTCCCCCCAAAAGCCGCAGAGGGGACGCCTCCAAATAACTCTCAAAGGGTCTACAACATCAGAAATAGCCAACGCAGTATTCGGGTCAAAAGAACTGTCCTCTTCCTGCTCGCCCTCAATTTGTGCAGGCAACTTCTCATCTCCAAAAGCTAAAGCCAAATCCTCTTCGTCAGAATCCACCACCATCACAACAAGAGGGTCAATGGTAAGCGGATCAAACCTCGCTCTAGCCTTGGGAGGGTGATCCCCTTAATAGCATCACACTAATAAGGCAGGGGATACATTATTTTCTTTTATAAAACAAACCACACGACAACCCAAACTTTGAGAAATAGATCCAGTAGCCCTTTGCCAAGAGAGAAAAATGAGACTCCGATAAAAAAACCATTTCTCTTCCACGGCTTCCGACAAGACTCCTTGTTAAATTTGGAAAAATGCAGTAGTAGAAAATCCACTGCAAAAATCTCGCGATCAATTTCCAAAGGCTTCATCATGGAGATTTACCTTGGGACTCGGGGAAAGTGCCACGTGCACAGAGGTGCCACCTTCCACCCATCTCATTTGACAGAACAACACCGTCGTTCGAGCCTTTAGATTTACAACTAACAACCCATGGAAATGGTGAACCCACGAGACCACCCAAATTTGTAAACTCAGCTTTCATAATATCCAAATTTGAATTTTGCATGAGAACCGCCCTACCCTTAACATCAGCAAGTTCCTCCCCAAGAAGTGGTCCATCAAGCATCCTGAAAATGGTACTAGCTATCGATATAGGTGGACTCGAGGCAGGTACCACTCCCAAAGTATTTGCATCCATAGTCTCAATGCATGGAAACTCCCTAGAATAATCAGTAGTAAAATCTGGAAAAAATCCAACCGGCACCCATTTCCTTTTCAAAATTGAAATATGCAAATTCAAAGTATTGCCGTTGTTCTTCTTCTTTTTGAAGAGCTGCCTCCGGCGACGGCCATCGAGATTCCCAGCAACATGTAGATTTTGAGTAGTTTCCTTGTGCTTAGCATCTCCACAATTACAGCTCAGTCCTGACTTCACAATTTTCGCCACTAACCCTATCTTCAATCCCTCCACCACGATCTTTGAAGGCAACTCCTCTTTTCCAGTTTAAGACCGAACCAATCCATCATCAGCCACCACTTTAATAACAAAAGTATCCTTTCCCACCTGGAGCTAAACAGATAGTGGTAGAGGTTGACCCAACACCATCCAAACGTTAACCCTGACAGAACGTCGGCCAGTTCCTACAAAAGACATCTAATCTAAATCACAGTATTCACCATAACTATTAGCAATACTCTTGATAATAGACAGTTTCCACACATTAAAAAGAATACCCCAAAGTCTCACCCACGTACAAACTCTCTGAGCAAAGGATGGATGATCAGAGGGTTTCCACAGATCAAACGAAAGAAGTTTACCTCAGACTCTGGGAAATCTAGCATGGAAAGCTCGACAAACGTCTCCCTTAGAATGAAGCATGAAAACCACTTTATTCTCATCAATGATCTTTACCTCCGGAACATAGTTGAGGGACCATCCTCGCTTGGCCCAATCTCTAAGATCAAAGATGTCAATGGAAGGAGGAGAGAAAGAACCCACCACACAGTTTTTTACCAACAAAAGGCCCTCATTCCACACCTCTTGATCAGCCGTAACTAAAGAATGAGGCATCTCTAATACCACTCCATAGATCCCTTATGATTTTCTCACCAACTTAATCCCTCTCTAGATTTCCCTCAAATTCTCCATCATTCAATACTATATTTTTTACTAAAATTGTTCACTTAGAGAGAGAGTGAGTGAGGATCAAGATTATTGTTACAACTAAAACCCTAAAAAATGCTTCCTAGTGATCACGCCTTCGACCACTTCGAATGAAATGTCACCCAAAACCCTAATCCACAACCAAACATGGATACAATCAAGTAAAAAAGCTGATCGACGGAAAATACACACTTACAATGTTCGGAAAGGCCTGCTCAAATTCCTTCTCCAATCTGTTTTGAACAACATTGCAGCGCTCCATCCATTGCTTTACTTTCCCAAATATCATCTACAGTGGATTGTAACCACCCATCGCATCCCAAAAGGCATGGCACCCATCACCCTCATTGATTTCACTTCCTCTCTCTATCTTTGTTAAGGGGTTCCTTCTTCTATCTCTCTCTTTCTCTTGGAGATCAGAAATTTAAGTATTAAAAGACATAAAAGGTAGTGGCTTGAGCATGATCCACAAGGACACACCTTCCTAACCTTTTCTTCAAACCTCCTTTTCGCACTTCTTTTGATTTGTACTTTGCTTCTTTCTCACTCCACGATATATGCATTTTACAGACAATAAACCCTAACCACAATGTCTCACCATCACAGAAGAAAAGGAATCGAATTTATTGGAGCTTTGAAATGGATTCACAGAGAGAGACAAGAACACAGCCAAATCCCTTGATGGTGTGGAACCAGCCCCTATAAATCACAAAAAAGGGCCGTAAACAGGTGCTAGTCTTGCCTACGCAGGGTCTTGACAGGGGTGGCTGGAGATGGTCCTAACCTTTGGCCTTTTATGCATAAAGTGACCATTTTCAATACTCGAACCATGCTCTTGCACTGGCTACTTGAGCCTTTTACCATCACACTAAGTGACAGCCCCTTTTAGCATCATCAACAAATCATAGGCCATACTAAATGGATTGTCTATTGGCCCAATCGGCCCGACCATAGAGAAATGGGAATGGGCCTCATTTAATGACAAAGCCGGCTGGTTTGGTCCGCCCAGCCTTTTTTTTTTTTTTTTTGTCCTTGTTTTTTCTTCTATTCTTTCTTCCTATGTTTTCGGCCCAACCCTATGTTTTCGGCCCAACCCTAAGGTGTGAAGGACGAGGCTAGGGCTGGCCTGTTGAGCCAGCTGTGATCCTTCCCAACCTTAATGCTGAAGAGTAGCCAACGAATGTTGAATGGATTATAAGGACATGCAATTTATATGCAGTAGCGATCATCGTTGCTGCTCAAGCAGTGAAGCAGCGATTAAGTTTAATCATATTATTGTGCCCCAGTTATCACTATTCACCCAAGAATGTGCTTGTATGGGGGCTGTATTCCCCATCTACTAAATAAAAAAAAAGAAAAAAGGAAAAAAAGAATAGTGATGTACATATGGACCTTAAAATTTTAAGTAAAATACGTAGGCAAAAATTACAAGAAGAATGGTCAACCTATTTTTTTTTATTTTTACAAATTGACCCTCGATCAACCCAAATTTTGATTCTTATTTATTTTAATTTTTTTTTTCGTTAGTTGGGCAGTGCCCCAAGCTTTAAGGCACTTCCCTAATAAAAAAAAGAAAAAATTAAAAAAACTAAAAAAAATCAAAATTCAAGTTGACTAAAGAGCAATTTTGGAGAAAAAAAAAATATGGGTTGATTGACCTTCTTTGTAATTTCCAACTATAAGTGGAGTTTCGTATTTTACCTCAAATTTTAAGGTCCATACGTAAATCACTAAAAAAATAAATAAAAAAGTGGGGCTTTTAGGTTATGAGTTCCATCATCTCATGCCATGCCATTGGAAGAGGAAATGATGAGATGGTGATCCATCGTTTCAATCTGAGCCTGCTCCAGCAACCAGAGCCAAAAATGGGGTAGAGGACTGTTAGTTTTTCCATCTGCCTAACTTACGTACCCATTAAAGGAGTCCATTTACTCCGCGCCATTACCAATTCTGATCCATGCCCATTTCCAATTTCCTCTTCAATCACTCCCATCCCATAATATGCAGCAAATCACAGTCCCCATTTTCCCATCAGTTCTCTACCTGCCCCTCTTAGTTTTCCAAGTCAACAATGTTGACATCCAACCAACATTCTAAACCCACATCTACCTCTTGTGTGCTCTATTTAAATCAGTCATTTTCTTCTGAGTCGAGGCGAGGTGCAACATGTTGTTAATGAAGGTGGTTATGGTGTGGCTTCCTCTGTGTGGGTTGGGCATCGTGGGGCAGGAGAAAGGGAATGGTGCTTTCCCCATAGCGCCAGGATTGTCCTGGACATATTACATTAACGCATGCCCCGCTCTCGAGCCCTTGGTACAGGAGAAGATAGCATCGATTCTCAGCCAAGATGTGACTCTTGCACCGGCAATTCTTCGGCTGCAATTTCACGACTGCTTTGTTCTAGTCAGTTTTCTCTTCCCTTCCCTTCCCTTTTGCATGACATAGTCGTAAATTGTTGGTTTATTGGTAGCTGGGTGGTGTTGTGTTGTTTTGATGGTGGGTTGTAGGGGTGCGACGCATCAATCTTGCTAGCCCGCTCGGAAGAGCAGGATGCTGCACCCAACCTCACACTTCGTCGAGAAGCCTTCCAACTTATTTCAGAGATCAAGTCTCTCGTAGATGCTCATTGTGGTGTTGTAGTCTCATGTGCAGACATCCTTGCCTTGGCTGCTCGAGATTCAGTCTACCAGGTTGCTCTCTTTCTATTTTCTTACTAACTTTGGTTGGTTACTGCAGAGTAGGGCTGGCAATGAGCAGGGCAGCCCAGCTTGGCTTGGTTGATCCGACCCCTTAAAAAGTAGGGCATGGGCTAGGAGTTGTAGCCCAAAGGCCGGCTTAGAGCCTGTACCGGCCCGTTCATCTTTTTTTCTTGTGATTTACATACGGACCTTAAAATTTTAGGTAAAATAAGAAATGCTCCATGTATATGCGAAATTTACAAAGAAAGTTGGTCAGCCTGCCTTTTTAAATTCTTTTCAAAATTACCCCCCAGTCAACCAGAATTTGATTTTTTTCTTTTTTAGTTGTTTCGTTAGTAGCGCAATGCATTAAAGTTTGGGGCACTACCTTACTAATGAAAAATCTAGAAAAACCTAAAAGATTAAAATTAAAACTCGGGTTGATTGAGGGACAATTGTATAATAAAAAAAAAAAACCCATTGACTGATCTTATTTGTAATTTCTGCCTATAAGAGGAGCATTTTGTATTTTACCTAAAATTTTAATATCCATATGTAAATCACTCCTTTTTCTTTTATCTTTTCTTTATTTGTTATTGGTCCATCTTGGCCCAATGACCCAGGCCTAAGGATGGCCTGGGCAAGGCCCAGCCTGTTGCCACCCTAACGGATGGAGAGGTTTTTGTTATTTCTCCAGGTAGGAGGCCCATTCTACCCGGTCCCCTTGGGTCGAAAGGACAGCTTAGTTGCAGCCAATACGTCTACAACTTTGGCTAACATCCCTTCCCCTAATTTCACCGTACCCTCTCTTATAGCTGCATTTGCTTCTAAAGGGCTCAATGCCCATGACCTCGTCTCCCTTTCTGGTGAGTCTCATTCCTTTTCACTCATCATGCACATCCAAACCCAAGGCACATGAATCAACGTCCACTTTTGTAGTTCTGCTTTTAGGAGCTTACATCAATGGACCATGCCTCGTCTCAATGCTTGTTAAACTACATTATCAATATCAATATTGTTTATTATTTGCATGTACCCCTAAGTAAGAAAGTAATCGTACCCTTGTGTATTTAAGATAGTTTCTCTATCAAAAAGCTTGAAATTTTCGAGAGAGAAACAATCTCAAAAACTGTAGAGAGAAAAACTATCTCAATTTCAAATTTTGTTGGAGAAATTATGTCAAAAGATTTTGAGAGAGAAACTGTATCAAATTTCAAGTTTATATAAAAAAACCATCTCAAAATTTTTAGAGAGAAATTATCTCGACTTTAAAGTTTTTAGAGAAAGAAACTGTCTAAAAATTTTGAAGCCAGAGTGAAGGGAAGGGAATGGTTACAGCTTTATTCATGGGGTGCTTGAATCTTTAAAGACTGCTTTCGCTTGAATCTTTAAAGACTGCTTTCGCACTTTGGATGCATGAAAAACTAATAATATTAGGGTTAGTAGTGTGATTAAAAAAAAAATTGGGGGTAGGCATTGCCTGAGAGTATGGTCTAAAGGTTATCTATAATTTTCCCTAAAAAGTAAGATTAAAAAAAAAGGGATAGTGCTTCATATTAAAGATCAAATATCCTAAGATTACCTATAAACTTGAAAATTCATCGGAGTTATAGTTTGTTCCATATTAAAGATCCCTCTCTTTTGTCATTTTTTTTTAATTAAATTTTGCCACCAGCAAGATGTGTGATGAGCGGCACAAAAGGCAGTCCCATGATGTTAACATCCAACTGACTTGGCACTGCCCCACTGCAGGAAAAACAAAAATATGCGACTAGAGGTTTCCTTAGATCAAAATGCAATTATAAAAAACAATAAAAAACTTCAGGTTAACCGACTTTTCTCGTAATTTTAACTCAAAATTCACTTATTTCGTATTTTATTATTTTATGTCCGTACATAATTCACTTAAGAAAAGACCAGAGCGGTCTAATGTTGCTATTGACAAACCGTCCAAACATCTCATTTACAATTAATCAACAATTATTAAGCATGTTTGGTTCGCTTGAAAATATTTTCGCATAAAAAAATTCTTTCATATGGTCAAGTGTAAGAATATTTCCATATCAATTGGTCGTAGTGTATCATTTCACATTAATTTGCAAATAATCGATACAAAAATATTCTTATACTTGACCACATGGGAGATTTTTTCATGTGAAAATAGTTTCTAGAAAATATTTTCACATGAACCAAATGCAGTGTAAAACGATTTTGTTTTCTTGGAAACGAGAGAAAAAAAGAGATGATTTCAGGATGAGAGAGAATGAGATGGTCATATCGACTTGATATCGTCTCTCGCATGTTTCTTGGTTTTACGCCAACTAAAACTAAGTTGTATTCGCGCTTCAACGAAAAAAGGAAAAGGGTTGTACACAATGAGACCACTTCCTTTTGCTACAAGGAATTCATAATTACTTACTTATGACCATCCGATATATGACCATCCGATATGAAATCTGATAGCTTTGGTTTGTCACAAAATTCGAGAGCATTTTTTTTTTAACTTTGAACTTGGTAATTAGAATAAATGTAATCACCCAATTTTACATCTAAAGGTCAAAATTAATTGTGAGCACATTGTACCAAAGATAAATGGTGACGTCGGTCGTATTTTTTTCATGGGAAAATTACGTCCAAATGTGGAAAGGTTCAAAACTGCAAGATTGTTCAAATTTTTGTCAAACTTTATGACAATTTTCCTATTTTTCCTAGTTTGCCCCTCGTCAGATATTTATAATATTGAACTAGTTTTTTATTTGATTTGATTTGATTTTTTTTTTTTTTAAGTTTAGGACAGTTTTATAGGCCTGAGGGCCATCTCCGGATCAGTCTTATGAATCTCATTTTTTGAAGGTTTAATTAAGCTGTCTGATACTTCAAACATCGGATTGACCTAAAAAAGGAGATAATTCCTAGCTTTTGGGATGATTTAGTATTAAAAATATCAGACCACATTTGAAACCTCTTCTTTCCAAGGTTTAAAACGTAGTGCTTATTTTTTGAAGTTTTAAAGCGACATGAGTTTGCTCAATCCACACCTAAAGGCGAACCTCTTTTATTGAAGTATTCAGAACTTCTTCTTTTCACGGTTTAAAACATGCACCTTATTCTTTGAAAAACATGCACCTTATTCTTTGAATGTTGAAGGCGATTCGATGTTTCGAACATCGGACCGACCTAAAATGATAATAGTACATCGGACCAGCCCCTAGACTTGAACAAAAAAAGAAAAAAATAACTAAGAATTTGGGACTCAAAGGAAAAATGTAAATAAATAATAATAATAATAATAATAATAATAATAATAATAATAATAATAATAATAATAATAATAATAATAATAATAATAATAATAATAATAATAATAATAATAATAATAATAATAATAATAATAATAATAATAATAATAATAATAATAATAATAATAATAATAATAATAATAATAATAATAATAATAATAATAATAATAATAATAATAATAATAATAATAATAATAATAATAATAATAATAATAAACCACAAACGTGGCAGAAAGACCTACGCATAAATTTTGGCAACATTTGGGCCGTCACATAGTTTTAAATCATTTTTCGTATGAGAGATTTATTTTTTAAAAAAATGATGACCTCCATGTAAAATATCAAAAAAATGACCAAACCGTAATTACTATGAAAAGTTTCAGTCTGCACCTAATTTTTCCAATATCCTATGCCACTGCACCTCGTACATGTATATTCTATGGGCTCTTTGGCAAAACGTGTCAGACAGACCTCGGTGCTTCTTGTTAAATTTCCCTAAATAATAAATATGGGAACGTGTGTTACATAAAGCCCTAGGGCCATTGCTATATGATAAATGGTACACCACTCTATGTGAAATCATGTCATAGCAAATTTCAGCTCTACGCAAAATCATGTCACCTAAATTGCTTCCACGAATCAACTGAAAAAGATCATCTAATTGGTGAAAGGATTTGGAAGGGTTGTGTACCAAGAGAAGACATGTTATAAATCCATGAAGTTACCAATTACTTTTATCGAGTCTATTGAACTTCCGTGGTATCAGTATTTTGATAAAGGGTTCAAATGAGCTACGAACAATGTTAAAAAACCCGACTCGGCCAAGATAGTTGGGACCTGGGCGAGGTGAGTTACTCGGGCAAGTCTTAGTAACTCACTCGAGTCAGGTTCAGTTTTTTTAAAAAAAAAATAAAGAAAAATAGCGGTCATATATATTGTAAATGTCTCTTTTGTCAACTAAATAAGAAACGGGATGCTGGTTAGTGCGCAATATAAAAGGAACCTCTTTATAAGAGGTTCTGAGCTTTGGGGTAGACTAGGGTAAAGTTTACTCGAGGAGCTAACCAGCACACTATTCTAACACTTTTGATATGAAATTGCAGTAATATCATACGTTTAAAACAATTGTGTACAACTAACTCCCATGTGGGCCGAGGCCGAGTTACTCGGACCGTCCGCATTGCCTTCGCTGAGTTTTAGAACTTGGGCTAGGAAGCTTAAATAGAATTATTTATGGAATTCCAATTTTGCACAGTGAGTATGATAATTTTATGAACAATCCCACATTCATTATTAAAAGTTTGTATCTAAACTACAAAAAATATATTTGGGCCTGTTGTTATTACTGCCCAGGGCCATGACAACCACAGCAAAAAAACGTTTTCTAAAACATTGATTTTGAATGCTTCTAAATAAAATGAGAAGTGATGCAGGTGCACACACGATCGGGGTAGCACATTGTTCTTCCTTTACAAACAGGCTCTACCCACAACTAGACCCCACTCTCCTTCCTTCCTATTCCACTTTCCTATACGCGAAGTGTCCGTCTGTGAACTCAACTAACACAACTGCAATGGACCGGTACACGCCTTACTGGTTCGACAACAAGTACTATGTGGAGCTCTTAAATTACGAGGGCTTATTTACCTCTGACGAGGACCTCTACATGAATAACACGACACGGCCTTTAGTCGAAAGCTTCTCAAACCAGCAGGCCCTGTTCTTCGAGGAATTTGCTTGGGGCATGGTGAAGATGAGCCAGTTGCATGTGCTCACAGGGCCCAGTGGAGAGATTAGAGGGAACTGCTCCATGAACAACCCAGTATTATACATTAACGTGCCATCCAAGTCTTCACCGAACAGGGTCCAGTGATTGCAGAATTAGGAAGATCCATATATAACTAAATAATAGTACTAACTCCATGAGAGGCTTTCGTGTAGCTTCCATACTATACATGAACTTGCGTTTCTACTTGCATGCGTGTTATAATGGTGTAAGGGGATGAACTTATCTGCATACATCCGTGCTACATGAAGTTGTTTGGCTAGATGGCGTTGTATTTACTTTCTAGTGGTGCTATTCTTTTCTTTCATAAAACTTTTTATTTATTGTGCTAGGGACTTCGCCTTTTTCTACTCATCGCAACATTGAGATTTTTCTTTTTTTTTGGGTAATTCTAGGGAAGACAAGGCCTTACCCAATTTTTTAAGTAGATTGGGAGTTATATTTTTTAAGGTGTTAATGGGGGTGGTGTTATTGGTAGGAATAAAATCCACAATGTGGCAACTATTGCCTGTTAAATATGTCTTGAACCCCAGTAATTAAGGAATTGTTTTTTTATTTGTTTTGGGGTATCCTAGTTTTTTGGAGTGTTTCCTATTATTTACAAATTCTATTAACCAATTTTCTATTATATATTAGTTGATTTTGGGTATAGTCATATTTGGAATAGGATAGTGTGTGAGTTCATATAGAACAAGATAAAGTTAGGCGTCCAAACGTTGGGAAAAGTAGGAGGGCCCCCATGTCTGTATTTTTTGGGGTTTGCTTTTCTGTTTTTAGGTTACTTTTATAAAGAGAGAAAATGGTAATTAAGTAAAAAATAGTTGATCATCTTCGCCTATGAATGTAGTCACATTTGTGACGAATTGTGTAAAATCCTTGCATTCTTCTCCATTATCTATTTCCTTTTTATTTCTTGCTTGTTGTGTGCTTTTTGCTTGTTCTATTTTTCCCACACTTTACTTATAAAAAATCAACCCATTGGGTTTTGGAGTTTCTCCACATCAATATTGGCATCAGAGCCTGGTTTAAGATTGCTAGTATGGTGGTAAATGTTGCAAATGCAAAATTTGAGGTGAAGAAATTTAATGGCAACAACAGTTTTAGAATTTGTCAAATCAATATTTGAGATTTGTTAATGAAACAAGCATTACACAAAACAATGCAAGAAAAGTCCAAGAAACTGGAGCCCATGTTAGATGAGGACCGGAAAGACTTAGATTTAAGGGTTATGAGCACTATTCGACTGTTCCTATCAAGCAAAGTGTTGTTTAGCATCATCGAGGATTGGCATCAAGCCTTGAACCAAAACTTGAGGGTTTGTATATGACGAAGTCCCTCACTAATTTGTAGTATCTGAAGCAACATTTATACACCATATGGATGAATGAAGGCACAAATATCCATGAGCACATAAATTAATTTAATAAAATTATTTATCATCTTAACATTGGTGTGAAGATGAATGATGAGGATAAAGTTACAATCTTGTTATCTTCACTCCTTTATTTTTATGAACATCTTGTCACAATATTGTTTTATAAAAGAGATACCATAGAGGAGGATGATGTGACTAGGACTCTTCTTTCGAATGAGTTGAGGCAGAGATAGGGTAATGCTCAGCCACATGCATCAGCAACATGTAGATGGTTTAGTGGCTAGAGGGAGATCAATGAAAAGGGATGTGAAAATCATGGCAGGCTAAGATCCAAATCTAGATCAAGAAAAAGTAATGTTATTTTATGCACAAATCTGACAAGATCTCTTCAAATTCATGCAAAACAAGTTAAATATGATAGATTGGTAGAAAGGATGGTACCAATCAAGTTATAGATTCAAAATGGGCTCCGATCTAAGCCCTTTTGAATCTACTGGCAGTAGTAGCTGCAAATTTGACACCAAAATAGATCTTTGAAAGTCTAACTTCTACATAAATATCCTAAATTGTGAAATAAATCGAAACATTAGAAAATAAATAAATTGAAATATACAGCAAGAAGAGAACTAACCTGAGGAACTGAAAACCCAGAGTTTTAGGTTCGGATCAGGCCGCCTTTAGCACACTTTCTCGTTGCTTGGATGCTCTTTCTTGACAGGCTGATTTGTGGGTTCTCTATGACTAAAATTATTGTTGGAAATAGGCTAGATTTTTTCATAATTGAATTTTAGGGTTTCTAATACCTAAGTAGTGTTTCTAGTGTTTTTCTAAGGGTTTTTCCGATGTTCTAAGGGTTTTCTAGAGGCTTTCCTAGAATATTAGGGTTCTTAGTATTTTCTAAAAAAGTATTTACTATTTTTTTGGATTTTGGGGGGTTTTTCTTAATTTTCTATGGACTATTCTAAATTTTCTAGGGATTTTCTAAAGGAATTTCTTGGGAAGTTTTGATGGGTTTAATCTAAGGGTATGCCAGAATTTTTTCCTATAAAATTGTCCTATTTTTGGCATGGGAAAAATCGTCCAAAACAAGCCTCCTCCATGCTGAAACTATGCAGTATGGTGCGCCCAATGAGCCTGTGCAACTCGCGAAGGGGTGTGCAGCCAATGCGTTTGTGGATGTCCGTGAGTTGTGAGGTCCGTATGTGACCTGTAGAGGGGTGTGCACTAGAACATTTTTGTCTTTTATTTGAACAAATTCACTGAGCTTATAAATTTTAAACAATAAGTCAAATTTTGGTGTTTATTCGCTATTGGAAAGCTCTTGGGAACTTTTATCATCTAAAAAAGGTTTTGGGCCAATTTGAGTCAATTCTAAGGGGTCTGGTCTGCATTCACTATGGTTCACTAGGTTTAGTATGGTCCCTAGGGCTCAGAATTATGGCTTCTAGGAATCCTATTAGCCAAAAATTCTTGGGGATATGTACAGTGGCCCCTCTTTGGCATTCATCTGAGACATCAGGTGAACGAGAAAGAAGAAAAAACCTGAGACATAATGGAATAAATGAGGAGTTATTCGTTTGACGGACAAGTACCCCTGGGGAAGAAGTTGCACTGATGGTTTTTGATTTAGACGACATCAATGGAAAATGCACTAATTCTAGGTTAGTTATATTTTGTTAAGAGGTCTCTGACAATCGGTATCCATAGTGGCAACAATGGAAACCATCCTAATTTTGGGATGATTATCTTCAGATGAGGCTACCATAATGCTATCTGGGACGTTAGATAGACATCTTTTGCTTTAGACCTTTGTTTTGGTGCTCTGGTTTCCAATTGAATTGGAATTGAACTAGAAGAAAGATGATGGTGGTGAAAATTTGGTTAATCAAATTTTTTTTCGCCTTTGATTTTAAAGTTTGAGGACCGTAGGTTCAAGCTAAACTTTTGGAAACATATGGTTTGGTTCTTCCTAAAATGAGATTTTCAAGGGTCTATTAACTAATCGATTCTCAACATAGCATCCAAGAGTAGGTGGCAACAAAAACATCACATCCAAGAGTTTGAACCTCGTTTGTTTTTTAAAACATTTTAGAGAATTTTTAATTTAGGGAGAAAAATTTGTGAAATAGACACAGGGTCTCAAGTTACAATTTTAACCAAAGAAATTAAAATTATTGAAAACCCACAAGCACTTAAGTGAAAATTCTAAAAATAGGAAGAAATTTCAAAAAACATATTTTAATTTGGTTAGAATTGTAAGCTCATGCAATCATGGAGCCCTCTAAATTGTTTTATGTCTTGCAATGAGTACAAAACTTTTGTACATGCCCTCGCACTTTTACATTTCACAGGTTTGACATCTGATTTGCGATTAATTCCCAATCTTTTTAATCATATATGTTATAAATTTTTCTGTCTTGACTCTTTTACGTCGCACAAGTTTAACATTTTGGTATTTTTGTTTTGAGGTCTTTGTTAGGTAGTTTTAGCTCACGATATCATGGAGCTGTTAGATTTTGAAAGAATTGGCAGGCAGTTTAAGCTCGTGCCATAATGAAGCCTTTCGATTTCTATGAAACTTTGATTTTTTTGTTTTTGAACAAGCATGTTATGATCAGACTTTTCGGGAATAGTCCCTAACCAATCTATATTTGCTTCAAATATGGCTCCCTTTTTGGGGAGTTTTCTTCTTCTTTTCTTTCACTTCATCATTTGTTTTTTTTTTCTTTTTTTTTTTTTTTTTGCCCTTTTTCATTCTTCTCTTTTCTTTTAATTTTTTTATCCTTTTGTTTTTTCTCTCTACTCTTTACTGTGCGACTCACTGCCGTCCACACGAGAACGACACCCGGAGAGGGGTGCATGAGTCCAGGACCCAACCTAATATGGTCTCTTGGCGACTAGGAGGCCGCTCAGTGGGCAGTTCATAAGCATTATGATATTATTGAATTAGCATGGAAGGGTACATGAATATGTGTGGGGCATCATATTCAACAATGAATTTTTTAAGTGAGAAAAATGGGCACGTAATCAAGATTCCTCAGATGGTGAGTTATTTGTAATCAAAATGGCATTTTGGTAGACCTTGAATTGTTCGGTTTTGGAGCAACAAAATGCCTCCTTGGATGGCATAAAACAAATTAGCCAAAATGAAATTCTATGAGAATCGCAAATGAGTAAAGTTGATATGAGAATCACTGAGAGTTGCATTATATGAAGAAATGAATCAATTCTAATCTCACGTGAGAATGCCTGGGACTCATAAGTGCTTGGTTACTTGGATCCCCTTTTTTGTCCGAGGGAAACCTAAATGAAGATAAGTCAGATCAACCTGCTCATTATGGGAACATTTCTTTTTAGATGAGTCAATGGGGGAGAGGGCCCCTACCCATTCGGCGGAATCGAGCCTATGCCATTAGCATTGCAAATCGCCAAGTGCTAACCAATTAAGTCCAGGCTCTTTTTCTAAAGTATGGGAACGTTTATTCTGAAGAAATATTACTTGATGTTGTGAGTTCACCATGGGATCTAAACATATTGAATCGATGAGAGGTGCGGAAACTCAATTAATGTGCAAGTTGTCAATGAGTCTGGTTAGGGAACCCATGACCCATAGTTTGATTCCAAGCACACCTCTGGTCGCACCGAAAAATGTGGATGTGTTAAGAAATGGAATGTTTAGAAAAACATTAGACTCCAAATAGAAAACCATAGAACATCATATTCGGAGCCAAATTCACCCATACACTTCATATCAGAAACACTGGCTTTATTATTTATACTGGGTACTGAGCAATTCCAAATGTTTAATCCTCTATTATATTTACATCAACTTGAAGAATTACAATAAGCCGAACACCTTTGATTATGACTTTGAAACCTATACATTCGTTTCTAAAGAAGAAAATGCAAACATGTTAAAGGGAAAAGATAATGTCGAGGGCATATCAGCCCATATACCTGTAAATGTAAGAAAGGACTTGTTATCCTTCGAGTCTGGTCTTCGGAAGAGAATGAAATGAATTGTAGGGGATGATTATCTTCCTCCTCGTGTCTTGAATATCACTCTCTTTTCTACTCTTGGTTCTTATCGAGGCACAACCTCTGAAGAACTATTTATCTCTATTAGATTATGTTTATAAAAAAAGTGCA